ATTCTTTCGTTTCGTCTCATTCTGTCTGCCATTATGCCTGATGCTACCGAAACAAAAGATGTCCTTTTTTTTTAAATATATTGTTTCTATTTAAATTTTAAAGCTATAGAAGACTAGGGTTTGTAGTTGTAATGTGTATTGGTCTTTATTCCTGATAAAATATTTAAGAAATCTGTTGTGAGGACGTACTTCTTCGCTCTACTTGTTTTGAAGAAAGTTAAGACTTCCAAAATGTCTGCGGTTTCGACTGTAAGTAAACTACAAAGTGTCTATATGATTTATGAACTATATTATTGAGCTGTCGATATCCTCATATCTGTACATCGGGTATTATAGATGGATTGAAGATTTAAAAATACTTTAGATAATGGAAGATGATTTGCGCGTAAAATAGGTGACTAACTAGTCTTTTTCGTACTTGACTTGTGGCTTTAAAAAGGTTCTGAACCTATTTTCTTGTGGCATGTCTAAGTTCAATACTATGTTTATATGGAAATACGCTACAATTTATTGTAATGACAATTATATTTTACCTAAAAAATTTGACGTTTCGATTTTCACTTCGGAAATCGTTATCAAAAAAGATTATTAAATAATTTTGTTGAAAAACGGTGTATTTTTTTTAATTATTGAGTTAATGCCTCGACAACCAAGATTATTGGCATGGTACAGTCAGGTACCTAGTTTAGTGTGTGTGTGTGTGTGTGTGTATGTAGAGTAATTGTCTTGATACTTAGCAAAGTCAACGTCATTGTTTTGCTAAGAGACGCTAATTGTATCCGAACGTCTGCGGTCCCTCCGATGAGTACCGATCGCACAAGGATAGAAATTATTTTTATTTATTAATTATTAATAAACGAAAATTTCTCCACCCAGATGAGATTCGAACTCACGACCTTTAGGTTTAAAAGTAGGCGCTCTTACCACTGAGCCACAGAGGGGGTTAAAAACGGTGTATAACCGCTAAGATTGTTAACACGGTTATGTTACGTTAACAAAATTGGAGGTTAATCTACTTTTGCCCACCAGGCACCAGCCATATTTGACTAAAAAGATGTGAGGGTGGATGTTTTATCTCGTGGAAATTTCAAACTCTGATTATTCAAATGTTTGCTATTGTTAATATGTGTTGTAAATGTTTGTGTGTGTCAAGATATAGATTGTTTGTTTAATGAATGTGTGTTGTGTGTTGCATATGTAATATGTACCAAAGAGGGTTATGTGTACAAAGAATTTCTTATAATGCTATTATTAGTTGATGTTTAAGTTTTGGAAACCAAAGCCTGCTACATTCTGCTGACTGGATGGGCGCTGATTTTTCGATTTTGATTTTTTCATGTTTGTTTCTTTTATGACTATTGTTGCATTTTTCCATTGTACTCTATGTTCTGTCTTCCAGGCATGTTTGCATATCTGTGATCTGTGAAGTCTCTGTCTTTGATGAGTGTTTTATGCTTATTTATCCTCACTTTTATTGGTCTTGCAGTTTCTTCCGCATATAAGTTGTCGCAAGGTGCAATCAAGCATATAATGTACTGCCAGAGATTTACAAAACTCACCTCGTATATAAGATATACAGGTAACTAAATTAGAAAAAAGATCATGACCTAACAACAGTTAACTCAACTAATTTATCTCACGTTCTTAGAACTTTGCCAGCAAACAAAACAAAGCACGTGCCGGCCAACAAAATTTGTTTTCACGTTTATTAACAATTAATTTTACTTACCCAGACTATTATGAAATAACCACTGTTTAGAGTAAGTTTTTAACAAGATTAGCAGAATAAATTCCGACACCAGGTAATGCAATAAGTCAGTGAAATCACTTTGTATCTGACTTTGGCATAGATCTCAAGGCAACAGTAAATTACGGTTATTTGCTGTTTACCTGTTTGTAAAATTACACAAAAATAATTAATTTTACAAGTGCGTGGTACCAACATAAAATTGGTAATATTAATGGGTGCACGGAATAGAGGTTTAAGGTCAATTATTCCATTTTAATTATTGTTGCCTACAAATAAAAAGCCTGATGTGTTTTATGAACGCATTCAAAAACTTATAAAAGGTACAGAGAATTTATGCTTTTAATTTGTAGCATAGATATAAACCCCATTTATTGAAACCCGAGAGGCTAAAACATTTGATAAAATTCTAAATTATTTTTTAATAGAATTGAATTTGCCATATTATGATTGTTAACAACTCTATTCCAGTAGGACTGAAGTTCAACACGTTATACTTATATCATAGTCTAATCGTGTTTCGATTTCAAAAACATCAACGTTAAGATTGAGAATACGGGAATTCTAGTATATAAGTACAATTCTAAAATATGTGACATGTAATTTTTCTGCAAGTTAATTATATTCATTCCTTTCACCCACTTTTCTAACTATACAAATAGCATTAATAAAAAACAATATCAACTTGATCAAAACAAAAATTTTAACTAGCTGCGTCTAAGGTTGCAGTACGTCTGATTAAAGACCAAAAATTCTGCTTTTTTTCGTTGGTCCGGTCAGGAAAATCTGGGTAAATTATTTTAAGCATTTAAAACTTTGCTTAAAATTAATAGAATTTTTTACCAAACGAGATCTTGATTTAACTCTACGATATCGCATGATAAAATGCTATATAGAAATGAAAATACGCCCATATTTATTTTCATAGATATGAAAATAAATAAGATGTGGATATTCCGCAGTATTCTAAAAATTCCAAGGACTGATCATGTTATAAATGAAAAAGTTTTAAGATGTATGAATAGAGCTCGTGAAATTATAGAATTTATTAAAAAATGGAAAATATATTATCTTGGACATATATATTAGACACAAGAGATATAACTTCCTTCAACTAATAATGGAAGAAAACATAGAAGGAATTCTGGTAGACGACAAATGACTTAACTAATAAAAGGACAGAATAGAGATGATTTGTAAAGTCACCAACCTTCATTAGAGATGCTACATAAAGAAGAAGAATCTTTTGTTATAAATACTGTGCTATGGTGCATTTGCAAATCTGGCATGCACACTTCGCTTCCACAAATTCGGATGCACTCCGTTGATCTACTTGCAAGCTTGGTTAAGTCAATAATTAGTTACAAGAGTAGTTACACAGTTACAGTTACAGTTACAGTTATAAAAACTAATATTAGTGACAATTACCTCTACGTGTGTATTGACAAAATCACTGATTAGTCAGGAAGATATAGAGCTCATGTAATGATTGGTGTTCTAAGCAATCAGATCTTGCTAAAATCGTTTTTAATATCATGCAAGCAAAAAAAACTATCTTTGCAACAATATCACATTTTGTAGAAGAAGAAATATCAAAAATGTTTCTTCCTACAGCTGTTCCCAACGAACCATAAATTATTGCCTTCTAAAAATATTTTATACTAACTTAATAACGTTACTTGTTGAGCACATGGAAATAACAAAGTTGCGGAAGAAATGAGAAAAAAGTTTCCTTTTGTAAACCAAGCATAAAAAAATATTCCTCAAATCTATAAGAATTCAACTTTATAAACTTTTTCACAATTTAACACAGGTCTATTATTTTTTTTATTGAGAACTACATATATGAGCAACTATTTGGTGTGTTAAGATTTTACTGCATGACTTTATATAAAAATAATTTATCATCACCTTAATTACCATTGAAATGATTATTATAACACTAACGTTAATGGCATTCATTATTTTTGCTCTTTCAGCAACATATACCTAATTATTCGATAACATAATAATGTCTTAATTGTACATGACATAATTATTGCAGAAATATGCAGATATTTCTGTTCGCAGTAAACTGTAAAGCCAATAATAATAATAATTTCCATTAAATAAATTTTTCTAAAAAATATATTTAAAAAAAAACTTTCTTTATAAATATATAAATCAACTATAATAATCATTATATATATATATATATATATATATATATATATATATATATATATATATATATAATATGAAATATATAATACATATAATCACTAAGCCAAAAAGTGTATTGTTTACTTTTACTCTCTGCATTAGGTATTATTAATAACGGAAAAGAAATTGAAAGGGAGGTTGAATAAAATAAGTGAACTATCTAGTTCCACTTTTTGTATAGAGAGCCGACATGTGTGGAGTGCTTTATGATCTTACTTATTTTACTAATTCTTACCTCTCTAGCCGCCAAGATATTTTTATGACGAGCTGTGCTGGGGGATGTAACTTACTTACTTACTTACTTACTCCATGGCGTTACAACCCTTCGTGGGTTTTAGGCGACTCGACAACATGCCTCCACTGTTTTCTGTCTTGAGCAACCTCCATCCAATTCTTCACGCTCATAGTGCTTAGGTCTCCTGCTATATTATCTTGCCACCGGAGACGAGGGCGTCTTCCAGTTGGGACTTCCTCCCACACCAGTCTTATTGTTCGTTCGTCAAAATGTCTTCTGAGGTGTCCTGTCCATTGGAGTCTTCTGAACTTTATTTCTTTTATGATGTTGGCGTCTGGGTAAAGTTCTTCGATCTTTGTTTGTTCTTATCCTATATTATCCTGATGCCGTTGGGTAAAGTTGCACTAATTATTTTTGCATAAAAGTTGATCTCCCCCAATATAAAATTGACCTGTTTTGGATTTTTATTGTTGTATAAGTTTTATGATCCAAGATAATATTAAATTTTTTACAATTAAAAATATGTAATGGGACCGAATAAAGGAAATAGCTTAAGAAGGTCGAGATTTAGCTCGGGCCGAAGCACCAATGATGATTATCAGGATGAAAAATACTTGGAATAGATACCAGCTAAAAGAACTAGAAGTTCCAGATCAACTTAGCAGTTATCAGTGCAAAAAAAATCTAGAATAAACCTTTACCTTTTTTAAAATGGAAAAGTTATTGTCCATTAATGTTTTCAATGTTTAATGCTTTAATCTTGAAATTCTTAAATAATGTTCTGTGTTTTGAATAATGGATTTTTTTCTATTTCAGAAAGAAAATTATTCGTTGGAATGTTGAGTAAAAAGTTGTGCGAAAACGATGTACGTGCCCTTTTCAACGGATACGGGACTATCGAAGAGTGCACCGTCTTAAGAGATCCGGCGGGAAATTCTCGCGGTTGCGCGTTCGTCACTTTCGCCTCCAAACAATCCGCCTTAAGTGCTATCAAAGGTAAGTTTTAGTTTATTAACAATCTTTTGTAAAGTCAGGTATACTATATTTGCAGTAACTACTGCAAATATAGTATAAACTTTATGCAAACTAGGAACTTCTCAATAATTCGAGTTAGAAGAAGCTCAGCTATAAGTACTCGCAGAAGTTCAATTATATAAAAATATAACTGAACTTCTCGAGAGTAATAATGATATAACATTTTAAGTAATTACTAGTTCTCTTCTTCATCGACTATTAGTTTCTGTTAACGAATATTCTGTTTGACAAAAATCCTCTTCTACTGAAATGAGAAAATAATTAATTAACCGGTAAATCAAACTTTTAAATTAATATCAGAATAATAGATCCCACGACAAATCCTGTATATATTTATGTATGTATGTATGTATATATATATATATATATATATATATATATATATATATATATATATATATATATATATAACACTGATTTTGATGGGTTGGAGTCAATAAAAGGGGCTATTTGTTGACTATTTTTTACTCGAGCTTTCAATTGTGATTACAATTTTTATCAAGAGCTTCTAAAAAATACAAAATGTCTTACAAAGTTGAACTAGAAATAAAAAATTTTTTGTTAACTCACCAAATAAAATTAGTTTTTTATATAAAACTACTGCTTACATAATAAATACAAAAAATATTAATAAAAAAATGCCTTATTCTAATAAATGTTTCTCTGAAAAATTTAGATGAAGTTTCTTAAGAAAAAAAAAAATTGAAGTTATAAACAAACATAGAATAGCTACAACCAGCCTAAAATGTCATAAATACTAACTTAAAAATTTTTATTTTTGACATATTGTCAAAAATAAAATTTTGTTTAAAAAATTCTTTTTTGTTAAGTAACAAAAAAGAAGAAGATTTATTCACCATTGATAGATGCCCGAAAAAATGTAACAAATACATGGAAAATTCAAAATGTGATATTTTACTGACTGCATAAATTAAATAGAAATTATATAATTATAAATTTTGCTTAAATTTTGAATTTCTGACCTTTTGTTTAAATTATTATCACTTTTGCTAATACAAACCATTTCCAAAAAAATTTTGTAATATGTAATAGACAAAGACCATATTATGGATTTTGATAATATTAAAATTTTATGTAATGAAAGTAATAAATTTAAAAGAACTTTTTTGGAAATGGTTTGTATTAGCAAAAGTGATAATAATTTAAACAAAAGGTCAGAAATTCAAAATTTAAGCAAAATTTATAATTATATAATTTCTATTTAATTTATGCAGTCAGTAAAATATCACATTTTGAATTTTCCATGTATTTGTTACATTTTTTCGGGCATCTATCAATGGTGAATAAATCTTCTTCTTTTTTGTTACTTAACAAAGAAGAATTTTTTAAACAAAATTTTATTTTTGACAATATGTCAAAAATAAAAATTTTTAAGTTAGTATTTATGACATTTTAGGCTGGTTGTAGCTATTCTATGTTTGTTTATATATTCAATTTTTTTTTTCTTAAGAAACTTCATCTAAATTTTTCAGAGAAACATTTATTAGAATAAGGCATTTTTTTATTAATATTTTTTGTATTTATTATGTAAGCAGTAGTTTTATATAAAAAACTAATTTTATTTGGTGAGTTAACAAAAAATTTTTTATTTCTAGTTCAACTTTGTAAGACATTTTGTATTTTTTAGAAGCTCTTGATAAAAATTGTAATCACAATTGAAAGCTCGAGTAAAAAATAGTCAACAAATAGCCCCTTTTATTGACTCCAACCCATCAAAAACAGTGTTATATTTTTTCCAAACGAGTCACAAGTACTTCTTTTTTCTTACTCTATATATATATATATATATATATATATATATATATATATATATATTTATACCAAGAAATACAGGATATTAGTGATATCGATATAAACAAAACCACCAGTTTATTAGGGCTGCAGTCAGAAGGTTGACCGAGAAGTTAGAGAAACACTCTTTTGACTTTTTGTCAAGATTTCTGAATTATTTTATTCCTTTTTTAAGACGTAGTCGTTGAGTCGATTTTTTTCTGACGGATATTCTCAAGTTAAAGTTGATTTCATGTAATCGAATGAACTATCTTATAAGTAAAGTCGTCCCAGTAGTGCAACTCAACAAAATTGACAATATTATTTGCCACATGCATAATGTATGTCTGAATTGTCAATATAAGTTTTGAACTTTGAAAATTAAGGCAATTATATCGAGCACAAATTTAATCAAATCTTGCCTAAGTACTTTCGCTTAATATAGCATCTTCAGGGGCATTTCGTCAAATATGGGCTATCCAGCAAGCGTAGAGTGTGATAAACATGGATGTTAACATAAAATTGTACAAACACTACACTAGAACAAGGACAAACAGTTTAAAATTAATTCTTAATAAACAGTTTAAAATGTTTGTACAATTCTATGTTAATATTCATGTTTATCACACTCTACGATTGCTGGATAGCCCATATTTGATGAAATGCCCCTGAAGATGCTATATTAAGCGAAAGTACTTGGGCAAGATTTGATTAAACTTGTGCTCGATATAATTGCCTTAATTTTCAAAGTTCATTTATTCGAGCATTCAACCTCATATCAATTCATAATATTATTTTTCACTAAGTAACAAAAAAAACAAAATTTGTTTAATTTACTGTTTGTATTTTGAGAACGATTTCCGAAGTGGAAATTGCAACGTCAATAAACCAATTTTTTGACCTTTAATTGTGGCTTATTCCCAGTTAAATAGTAATAAATTTAAAATGCCACAAGGAAATAGCTTCAGAACAATATTAAAAAAAGCAATGGCAGAATAGTTAACTGATACAATTATACTAGAACGAGGAGTACGACAGGGATGTATTTGATCACTCCTATTATTCAACATTTGATATAGAAAAGAAATACAGTAAAACAGGAGTCAACGGCCACCTGCTAAAAGCAGCAACTTGTACTAATGGCTAGTTTTAAAATTTATTAAACCGATTATATCTAAAGGGTAAAAGTAGAAAAACTTACTGTCCTCTATTGTTCGAGAAAAATAACTTTGCTATGTAGACAATCCAAAACTATTTTCTAGAGATTTACAACGTATGCTACATCAATTTAATATAATTGCTAGAAACTTTAACATGTGAATTTCCTCAAAAAAGATAATATGCATTATTATAACAGCAAATTTACTAAGATGTAAATTTAAGCTAAAAGGTCATATAATAAAACAAGTGATAGATTTTAAATATCTAGACATTACATTATCTACGGAAAATTATCACTATCACTAGCTACGGAAAGTTCGAAACAGAAGTAAAAGGTCAAGTGAATAGAGCGAACAAAGTCGTAGGTTGCATGAATGAAACAATATGGAGAAATAAATACATCGGGAAAGAAATAAAAAGCAGAATTTACAAAACAGTCAGCCTACAATACAAAAAGTATGTTAGAAACAGCAGAGATAACAACACTTAGCAAAATTGATGGTAAACACTATGAGATAGAGTTTTAAGTACAGATATACGACATATATGCAAGGTAGAGAATATCAAGAAATGGGTAAACAATACAAGAGTAAAATTGGACGATTATAAGCCGAATCACAACAAACACAGTAGTAAAGATGGCAAGAGATGGCTCATCGATAGGAAAACGATCAGTAGGAAGCGAATGAGAACGGTGAAACGTAAACGTACTAAAACACATTGAAAACAGTCATGTCTTCATTAAAAGAAGAAAAACAGAGAAGAGATTATATGTAGACTTGCTTAATTATGACCTGGTATTTACAGTCACCTTTAAAACGCGGCCAAATAGTCTCAAATTTAAAGCCAATTTCATAGAAATTTACGTGTTAATATCATTGATCATTTAAATTTAGATAATTCTTAATTTCTAATGACTTTTATATTTATTTTTCCTTTAAGAAAGTGCTTTATCCTATCCAAAGCACATATGAACTTAAAGTACTCGTGAATGCGTTGACTTCCTTTATATTACGAAACACGTAAAGCTTTTTTAACACCTTCATCAACGTCTATTTTGCTTTGCAATTTTTAGAAAGCACATATTAAAGCAGAAATCTGAATTGTGTTTCGAAACTATTTTATGGATCTATTATCAGATGTCGCTATTGCGTCCATATCGAAGCCATTTTAGTGTTGCTTCTTAAAAGACAGAAAATATTGATCTTTCACGTTGAGAACGCCTATGAATAACTGTTCTGATGAGACCTATTAGCTCGAAATACGTATCAACAGATACATAGGCGCTGTTTGCGTGAAATCAAATATTTGCTGTCTTTTTCATTTTACGTAAAGCTTCATTGATGAGTTTTTTGAGGGCATCTTTGAGATCCTATTTAAGAAATATAGGCCACCAAGAGCTCCCAATGTATAATATTATAAGGGCTAATAAGTAGGGTAGTGGCCTGGTGTTTCCATTAGACCATTTATCATAGCTCTTTTTGGACCGGAAACTAGTATGTAGGTTTAAGGATCATATAGTCCGTATTTTCCTTGTTCCTTTTTTTTATTTCTGACAAGCCCAATTAATAAGTGAATAAGGAACATCACGATGAGGATATTACTCTCTTTTGTATCAACATACACTATCGCACCACTCAATATTAAATATTGATTTAGTCGTTGATGTATTTATAACTTACTGCGTTTTATGACATTTTAAGAAAGTTTTTATAAGAGATTTTCCAACAAGAAATTAAAAAACAGGTATTTAATTTTATAAAGGAGGAAATTGCTCGTATACATTGGCTCTTCAATAATTACAATTAATGTAGAGACGCTGTAATATTCACAAGAATTCGGCTTTAATAATAAAGTCAGCTATAAGATGTAGCAGTAAAAGTGCACCCTCTAATGCATATTTAAATACGTCATAAAACTCGTCTTACAGGGTTGGTGCTCAGCGACTTTAAAAAAACTCGTAAAAAAGAAAGTTACATATTAGGCACACAAAATATTCTCAAGGCAACTTTTTCTTTGCTGGTTTTAATGACGGCCATTGAGCGGTATTCTAAGTAAAATTTTAATGTAATATAAAAGAGCTAGTTTAACGACTTGGTCCTTGTCGGTTTATTAAAGCTTTCCAAATTTGTTTATTTATATTTAATTTTTAAACGATTTGTTTTGTTTAGGGTGGGTTTTCTGTTAGAAGTTTATTTCTTTACATTATTTTAATACATGAATACCTTCTCTTTGAAACTTTCCTATGCATTGTCCGCTTGCCTAACTACATTTATGCAATTATGTCTCTTTGGGTCAATTTAACTACCAACATAGTTTAGAGCGTAGATTTTAAGCTTATGTTGTATATTATTTATAAATTTCTGTTAATATTAACTAACTCCAGCTCTTGTTTTAAACTGCGTCATATTCAGTAGGATATATTGTAAATATTGTCGTGGTTCTTTTGTGCAATTTGGACTAATTCATTGATTTCATCCGACTATATAAAAATTCCCTTGTCTTTCGTTTTCTTATTTCTGGATAAATATATTTCTGCATTTTTAGAGCAGTATCCCCAGGAATCTTTCGTCTTATCGTCAACCGAATATTTCATATACACCTGTAGGTTGTCCAATAATAAGTCATTTTATTCTAGTTACTAATATTATGAATATACTAAAACACAGAAGAATGCAAACCTATTACAAAGTTTTCATTTTCCAACTAGATTCATAGGGCAAAAAAATTATAAAATTTTATTCAACATTGCTAGAGCTTTAATTAATATAATGTTTTATTTATAGGCCTTCATCAATCACAAACGATGGAAGGCTGCTCAGCGCCTTTAGTAGTCAAATTCGCCGATACCCAAAAAGAAAAAGAACTGAAGCGGCAACAACAGATGCAAGCCAATGTCTGGAATGCGTTAGCTGCACCAACGCTGGCTTCACCACCTCAGCAATTCTCCCCCGTTCTACCTACTGAAGCAACGTCGCTACAGCTTCTTCAAGCGATGGGAGGTGCCGGTTTGCTTCAGCAACAATTCCTTAGTGGGACTGAAAACCTTCTAGCACCCATCGGGGTACAAAATTTGGTGACCTTGGCAGCCATGTCGCAACCTGCTACCGCGGCTACAGCGCCCTTCATGGCTAACTTGTTGGGAAAGGGCGCGGGGGTTGAAAGGACGCTTAACGCGAGTTTGCATCCAACGGCTCTTTCGACGTCTGATTTGTCGTCTTACGGATCGTTAATTAGTAATGCTACAATAAATGCTGCGGCGATGGCTGCAGCGGGAAAACAAATTGAGGGTAAGTACTCCTAACATTTTACCACATAAGTGTAATCAATATTAATAGAAACATATGTTATCGCCTCTGTTGGGCAAAATGGGATGAAGTTAATAATAGTGACTGTTATGAGCATTAACAATATACATTATTATATAAATCTTCTTATTTGTTCCTGATATATTTCTTTATTAGCTGCAACAAATCGTTTTTACTTTCAATCGTTGCTTCTATTATGGTTTAATGTAATAAGGGATATATGTGAAAACATGATAGATAATAATATCATGTTTAAGCTTTTTTACTTTTAACAAAATGCGCCTATGTTAAATTGTTCCAATTTATTCACTAATTCTATTAAATATAAAAGTAATGCAGGCATTAAAGATAAAACCTAAAGATAATTTGGATAATTAAATGAAAAGCTATCTACCGATTCAGCAAAAAGTAGTAGTTAAACGATAAAAGTATATTATTCCATTTAAAGCAGACTAGGATCATGTGAATACGCGTTCTAACTATTTACAACGAATATTGTTAAATGCTATTACAAGTTCATTCTATTGGCTGCGCCAGTTTTTTATGAGCAATTAAGGACATTTTCCTGTTACAAATGTGAAATCGTAAATTAAGGGAATTAAGTTTAAATGTAGTGCTAATATTACATTCGGAGATAATCTATAATTTTAGTCAATGTAATTTAAACGGAAATTACGGAAGATTAACCATGAACTTTATAGGTGTAATAAATGCAGTTATTCGGATTATGCTGAGTGACTAATAGATGAAAAAGGTATAAATCTAAACTATTCTATGCTGTAATGGGTTTGTAGGTAATTCATATTTTTTAAGTGCCTTTATGAAGCTTGAGAATGAATATTGTATCTGCAGGTAGCGCATTTATATTACCATAATTTTAGTTTATTTTCAAAACAAAAACATAAAATATTTACTGTGGAACATGCCACAAAAAAAATGTTTAAGAAACACAGATAATACTTACAATTCAAAATTAGCTAAGTATAAGATTAAGAATAAGTGTTAGAAGTGTTTGTTTAAAGTGTTAAGTGATTAAGTTAGAAGTATTTGGGTTAAATATTTAAAATATTCTGTATTGTAATATTGTTATATTGAAACCTAATCCCTATGTAGGGGACGCAATGAAGCAATAAACCTGCCAATTTGCTGCGATTGGACGAATCTCAATAAAACGCGTATTAGCATTTCATTCGTAATTGGTAGGAAATTTTGTGAACTAAAGTATTTATTTATTTATCGTATGGCAATTACAACACATTTAGAACAAAATTAAAAATACTAGGTTTATGACAAACTTTAAATAATTACAAACAAACATCAAGTGTATTAATATAATCAATTGACTCTGAAGTTGCAAACAGAAAGTCTTCAGAGCCACCATTGTAGGACCTTGAGAGACACTCTTCAATAATGTGGTCGATGGTTTTGTTCTTTCCACAGTCACATTGAGAAGACGGGTTCTTTCCCCATTTATGTAGCATGTATGCACATCTGCTATGTCTGGCCTCTGGTCTCTTTAGAGTGGCCCATGTTTTGCGTTGAAGATCAAAATCTGGTGATTTGTGGGTAATTCAGGGCATGTTATTTTGCCATGCGTTTCTTTCTTGGGACCATGCATTCATGATGTTGAACTCCTCGTGTATCATTCTTGCCATTTTCATTGGTGGTTTTCTAGAACGGAGACGGGCATTTCGTGCATCCTCGGTATCTTGGTGGATCGGCAGGTTTATATTGTTCATGATCTTTTTATATTCACGTGTAAGTGCGTCAACTCATCGTAAATATGGAAATGGGATATGACTTAATACTGGAAGCCATTGGGTGGAAGTTGATTTAATTGTACCAGCTATCATCCTCATATTGTTGTGCAGCTGAGTGTCGACCTTTTTCACGTGCGGACTGGAGCCAAACTGGAGCACAATATTCAGCGGTTGAGAAAACAAGGGCTAAGGCAGTAGAGCGGAGAGTAAAAGCCGATGCTCCCCAGGTGGTACCACAGAGCTTCTGTATAATGTTATTTTTTGTACTCAACTTTTGGGCAGTTTTTGTTAAATGCTCTTTAAATGATAGCGTTCTGTATAGTGTTACGCCCAGGTACTTTGGTGTTTTGTTGTGGGTAAGTGTGGTTTTTTCAAACCGTATGTTGAGTTCCTTTCCATCAACTTTATTGTTCAGGTGAAAGCAACTAACTTCCCTTTTGGATGAATTTGGTTGTAGTTGCTACTTGCGAAAATATTTGCTCAATATATATGACTGCCGTCAGAACTTCTTCAGACGCTTCTAGTGTTCTGCATCGTGTAGTGAGAGTTTAGTCATCGGCGTATCCGAACTTTCTTGATTGTGTTTCCGGCATATCTGCTAAGTATAAGCTAAATAGTAGTGGAGAGAGCACTGATCCCTGTGGTATACCATTCTTAAGTTTCTTTGGAGGGCTGATATCTGTGCCCATCACTACTTGAAATATTCGGTCGTTGAGCATGCTATTTATAAGGCGTGCTATTGGTTTCCAGGGAAATGCTCGGAGAATTTTGTATATAAGGCCCTCTCTCCATACTGTATCGTAAGCTGCCGAGAGATCAATAAATGCCGCTGAAGTTTTAAGTCTTCTTTTGAAGAACATCGAAACCCGCTTCGATGTAGCTGGTGAGTGATATTACCTGGTTCGCGTGGTTTCGTTCTGGTTGAAAACCCCCTTGTTCGACTAGGATCACCTGGAACAGTTCTGTACTGATTCTATTATATATAAGCCTTTCTAATAGTTTGTAGATGGCAGAAAGAAGCTCAATTAGTCTGTAGTTTTTTAGGTTGTTGGCGGGTTTGCCTGGCTTTAGTATGGCTATCATTTTAATGCGCTTTAGTTCTTGTGGAATTATTCCAGTTTCCATGATGCCTGTGAAAAATCCAGTCAGCCAAACTTTTGTATACTTGCCACAATTTATTAGGAATTATGTGGCTACAACGTTTTAAGTTCTCTCTTTACGTAGATGGTATGTGCTTTTTCCTTTGGTGCCCTGGATGTTTTTACTATACGTGATGCTACGGCATCTGACTTTACAGCTGCCTCTCGGCATTTTGTACGGACACCACTCCCTAATTTTCTTAGTAATGACCATCCCTGTCTGCTTGATTTCTTGAAGTTTAGACTTTCTACTGTTTCGGACCACTTTTGGCTTCTAGCGGCGTCTAGGCTGTACAGTAGTTCATCCGCTATTTCTTGGTCTTCACATTCAAGAAAACTAAAGTGATGAAGTCGAAGAAAAAATTGCATTATTGAATGAGGAAAGTGAATTTTTCAAAATGTAGTTCGAAGTGATGAAAAATGATAAATTTATAATTTGAAGATGTAAAACGGAAATAAGTTCATTATTGCTACTCCAGGACTTCTGTGGTCACATAACACGAATATCGTTACGGCGATGTTTCCGATGTAAGTGGTGCTCAGGTTGAACCTCGTCTTCTAGAGTTTTATGCAAAATTGATACATCAGTAAAAACTCATTACTCGCAGTTTTGAAGAAAGCTGATCACGACGATGGTCCCCAAGGCACCTGGTCTACAGGAAGAGCTAGTCTCATGAAGTGAGTTTTTTTGAAATTTGATACAAAATCGGTGCAAACCCGTTGTTCGGTAAGTTTTGGGATCACCTAAATTATATAGGCGATGGTGACCGGAGAACCTGGTGCCCAGGCGGGACTCGTCTCCTGAAAATTTATGGAAATTCATTACAAAATCAGTTCAAATAGATTACTCCGAGGTTTTGGGATCGCTGAATACACATATTATGTTAGATTATGTTGGTAAATACAAATATTTTTTTTAATATAAAATCTGTACAGTAATTAATGTATACGCTTAACTAAAACACACTAATAACTTTAATAATTTTTAAAATAAGATTATAAAAACTCTATTGGTACTGGAATTTCCTTTAACATCTAAACTATCAAAAATGCTTAATATTATAATTCTGAACCTTTTTTTAACAAGCAAATAATAGGTATAATTATTTCGCAAAACTGAAGAAAAAAGAATGAGAAAAAACTGTATTCCAACGTGAAAGGTAACAGGTTAGCGACTAAAAGTTCGGTAGCGGGAAACACCTCGACTGTTGGATACATGCAGCACTTTGCTAATGATACCAACTGCAATAAAAGAGCAAAATTTTAAAAATAATGTTTGGAATATCCCTAAGGATTATATTTGGAGCGTACTTCTATGCTTCTAGCATAAGATTTTAAACATATCCATGGCTAACGACTCTTCAAAGTTCAATCTCACATATTTCGGCATAATTAACCATGCAATGAACCTACCTAACTGGAAGCAATTTTCACCTTTACATTAATACAAAAACATATCTTCATCTTTACCTTGGATTATAAAAATTCCACTATACACCAACTCTAATCTTATCATACAACTTTTCAGAGATCTAATTAACTCCCATTACGATTACACAGTATACTATACAGACGCGTCTAAAACTGAAAATGGAGTCAGAGTGGCAATAATTAACAGCACATAGATTCCCAAACATAGAATTACAGATAATGCAGCTATATTCACAGAAGAACTCTACGTAATTTACCAAACGATACTACACGCAAATGCCAATAAGATGAATAACATATTAATCGTGGCAGATTCTATTTATCACTTCAAATAGAATCAGGAAAATGTACACGCAGCATCCATTAGCTTTACTTATAAAGGAAGAATTAAATAAACTGCATACTAAAGATTAAATATCAAGTTTCTCTGGGTTTTATCACATGTTGGAATTACAGGTACCGAAACAGCAAACAAAAATGCCAAAGAAGCTGTAAACGACAACAGTATCCCCATATTACCCAAATCTGTAAGTATGGATCTAAGAAGCTATTTCATAAAGCATCTGTTCGAGAACAGTAACAATAAATGGAATTCCATACCATCAAAGCTTCGGAAGATAAAAAATAAGATTGGACCATGACAAAAAAATTA